GTGGAAAGAGAGTTAAAAGGAAAAGAAATTACGAGGAAAAAATGCAAAAAAAAATGTATAAAGAAAAGAGAAAAGAAGAAAAGAGAATGATAGACAGGGAAGCAGAGGGCAAAGAGTAAAGCAGGAAATTCGTATATAAATATATATCTCTTTCCTTATATATAGACCACCCATGCTACGTGCAGCAGAAAATCATGATCGATTTGTGAGCAAATAAGAGAGAACGATAGAGCTGAATTGACCTTGTTTCGGCACCGAGGCGCTTCATTATAGCGTATGCGGCAGCATCTTTTCTTCGTTTCTTTCTATTGCCTATTACAACGCCTAGCTTATATAAGTCTGTATAAATTAACTTTGATATAATCTATAATTTATAAGCTGAATCATAATTACGAGTCTAGTTTACATTATATAATTAATTACCATGCTTTAAGGGCGGAGTTAAGAACAAACAATGCATAATGCACGTCTGATGTCGGTGTCAGAAAACACCATCAGCACCATCTATCAAGTAAATAAAAGGCACGAGCCTCGGGCATTCAAACCCAGGCCATAGGAAACAATAGAACTGCAAACACAATGATATCGATCTATTTCTCATAACATGGCGCTTCAAAGGCACTGCAACAATGAGTAGAATTTTATTCAACCGTATACGATACGCATATGTGTATAAGGTGTGCAGAATTGCGATAATAACCCATGTATTGGAGGGCGGGGAGGGGGGCTAGGAAAAAAAGGTAGTCGTAGAAGAGGAGCGGAAAGGAAAAAATTGTTCGTTTTATCCTCTTTTTCCCCCTACAACAAAATGTAAACAAGCTTTACTCTATTTTCCTGCCAAAGTTAAAGTGATAAAAGTGCAATTTCTCCATTTTTGCTTCACCCTAATTTGTCAGTACGTCCCCTTCTCCGCCTAATCTACCTCTTTTCTGGGATAAAAAGAGAGCGAGAAAGAGCAAGGGGAAGTAAGGAAAGAAAATCCCCGTGTCAACGGAATCTTATGTCGTAGTGTGCATAAAAAAAACACTCTTTTAGATAATCCTCTTCTTTGCACACGCAACAAACAACATGCAATCGCGGGTAGTCACGCTAAATGCTTTAAAAATCTGACAAACGCTTCGATTGCGTGAGAACAAGCACTTTGACGAATAATCTCGACTTTTTTTTTAACCAGGTCTCATATAAGAACCATTCGAAATGATAAAGCATGTGATAAGTGTGTTTATATAGGAACAATAGGTTTTAATAAAGTACACTGTTCGTCGCAGATAAAAAAATATACAATAATACCAGCAGCGTGTATATTTTGTCAGCTGTTTGCGGATATATTTAAGAAGCATCTGTTCAGCGTTACCTTTACCATTGCGACGTCTATAAACAGTTAGCCTTTGTCTTCGAGCACCAAAACTCCGCCCAATCGTCGCTTTAACAATTGTACACAAAACAGTATTTTACATATGACTGAACACAAATTTCACACATTAAATTTATATATATAAAAGAGTAAGATATGAAGCCACGCCTACCATCTGACCCTAAATCCCCCTTCGTTTCAATTTAACATTTTTCTACACACCAATATTTCATGTAGGCTAAATGAGTGAGGTTTTTCAAAATATATAAATATATATATATATATATATATATAGTTATAATAAAGTATAGAATACTTGTTTGTGCTTTTTTTGGCAAATATGAAAAGAAAAACTGATATAAGAATAGCGAATTGATTGCCAATAATCGTTAGCTGGTTTATGAGCCGTTATTTATATTTCTAATTGAGATAGAGTCGATATTGAACTCTATAAGGGAACAAACCCTTATGTTAAATAAAGGAAAATGTACTACATAATTGACATTGGTACGGCATCTCGACGACGCATTGCGCGGACAAAATGAAAAAAGTAGACAATTTCTTTACGCTTAACTCTTCTCTCTTCCCCCCCCTCTCTCTCTCTTCACTTTACTTCTTCCCTTTAACGTCTTTTTTATATAAAAAGTAGGTTTTATTTAAATGCTCTTTATACAGCTAATCTGTAAGGTAAATTTAACGGTGGAAACAATTAAAATGTCACGTGATCATTGAGTTTGAAACGACAAAAAAAGGGACTTAATTAACCTTAAGTTCTTTTTTTTTATTATTATTACGAATTGAGCGATAGGGCGCCAAGATTAAGTGAAGGGATAAGTAGTTGATGCGAGATAATACCTAACTTATACGTAGACGATCGATAAAAGGCCAAAGAACGAGGTCGTAGTGTCGTTAGCGATGGTGCACGCCTGATTAGCACGGTGGATGATGCATCGGTGCACAAGGAAGGAGAATATTTTTTCCCTTCATTCTACTACAGTCTTTTCCGCAGGTCACAGCGGCGTCAACCAATTGGGCGGTGTTTTTGTAAATGGCCGCCCTTTACCGGATAGTACAAGACAGAGAATTGTTGAACTAGCTCACAGTGGAGCAAGGCCTTGCGATATTTCAAGGATACTACAAGTTTCAAATGGATGCGTGAGCAAGATCCTCGGACGATATTATGAGACTGGCTCGATCAGGCCAAGAGCAATAGGTGGTTCAAAACCTCGAGTAGCCACTCCGGATGTTGTGCAGAAAATTGCTCAATATAAAAGGGAATGTCCTTCAATCTTCGCCTGGGAAATCAGAGATAGATTGCTATCCGAAGGCGCCTGCAATCAGGATAATATACCGTCGGTGAGTACCAATTTTTTCTGTATAATTATAAAAAGGGGGAAAAGAACCAGGTTAATGGTAAGATGACGAAGTAGAATTTATCGAGATAGAGTAAAATAGGGACAGAGAGAGAGGGTGGGAAAGAGAATATGATTGAATCGCAGTCTTTATTAGATATTTATTCGGTTCGATAAAGAAAGAAAGAACATCTGCGCGTTTTAAAATACCGCATCAAAAATGAGTTATGCAGCAACTTTGTCCAACGTTCAAGAGCTCAATGGCGTCTTTGCTGTTCAAAGGGTATTTGGGGCGGCACCAGCCCTCTGGCCGTCCGCCACTCCCCGCCCCAACCCCATCGATATTTATATAAATATACATGAAAATATACTGTACACCATAAATGTCATTTTTAAGTTATTCTCTTTTCTTGGAAAAAGTAGGTCAAAATCGCTGCAAAGCCTATGATGGGATTAAGCAAATAGCATTGCGTTTTGCAGTCGAGTTGTTACGCCACGCGTTTGTTTCGTCTAACATTTTGTGTCGATGGAGAAAATGACGTGATTAGCGGAAGCGTTGACAGGGTCACGTGGTTGGGCGACGAAAATCAGCGTAAATTTGTTTGCTGATACTTGACGGATACAACGTCGGAAATGTTTACAGAGGTTTTTAGGGGAAGAGGGGATAGGAATGAAGAAGGAGTTGAATTCGAGTAGCATTTGGGTATTTATACTTGAAAAGAGTATAACAGGTTAATCCTAAAGCGAATTTACAGACGCCTTTATTAATTAGTTTCTTGTCTTAACCCTGCGACCCTGGCTTAAAGCGAGAGAAAGGATCCCGTAAGCATGAGTGACGCTTTGCAACACCATTGCCTGGCGTAACATCAAAGAATGTCGCTGATTGCCGCCATTATGCTCGCAAATTGTACGCATGGCGAGAAGTGGCGTTGTATTGTAATGGCGCGTACCACGCAGAGCAGCAAACTAGACGCCTCATGTCACGCACAATCAACACCGTCCCTTCTGATTTCAACTGACATACAACCGCGGTTACGCCGTTGCTAATGATAAGTTTTGTTACTTAGCTTCTGGGCAAACTTTACCGCACACCAGCAGAGTTTCTCATTAGTCATACAGTAGAGTGCATAGGGGGAAAGAGAGAGCCGCATCTGACTTTCAAATCACCTCTTTAATAGAATACTTCATTGTCTATAAGACGCCATGTTGAAGAGGGCGGATACTAATCAGCACCAATCTACAACACAAACAAAGACAAAAGATTAAGTATAGAACTACGGCGCCGAAATAAACATACTGACCAACCTTTTTACCAATATTTTCACTGCGGATTTTTGTTATACTTAATTCTTATACAAAACATTCACTTGTCAATTAAAGAACTTTTCTTTATGTATATATGTACAAAGTACTGTATATATTGCATAAATATATTCCATCGTATGCAACATATTCATATAAATATGCATACTTTATTACCTTCCATAACATACCTTTAAAACATTCAATTCATTATACATGTACAGTTTATATACGATATAATACCTATATTATTATTATACATATATATATATAGGTGTATATACATTTGTATATACATGAATATTCATGATATGCAGTTTTTATCTTGTATATTTTTTAATATGCATTAACATATAAACTATATACATATATAGACAACGGTCGTGTCATCACGAACGCTGACAATGGTGTCCACTACCGAACTAGGTCAAGCTGAAAATCGAATTCCCAGCTGAATCGAGCGTTCAACGTCTGTTTATTTGCATTTTGCTACGAAAACTATTGCTTTTCTATTGCAACTATACCCTATATATATATATATTTACGCTTTATGGAACAATTTACGTTATATAGAAAAGTAGAAAAAACTTTACAAAATCAATTTTCTTCATATTTTATTAAAATCTTAATTATGTTACTATTTAACAAAGTAATGTAGAAAATGTATTGAGTACATTTATACGAAGTAACGCTAGTTAAAATGAAGTTGACAATGCTTCTAATCGATTTGTAAGAAGGAAGAATTAAAAGTGCAGGAGAAGAAAAAAAAATAAGGAATCAGAGAGTCCGACTAAGTTGGCGGAAACGAGTTTTTAACAAGCCGTACATATACGCTTTTTTTATACTTTAACCCTTTTATATATTATATGTGTTTATTGTATACGTATAATGCTAAAGGTATAGTATATCCTGGCTCTTTTTTTTCATATATCACCCAAGTTGCCTAAGCGAGCAGGGCACTTTGACGCCGGCGGGCACCGCGCCAGATGAAAGATGTTAGATACTCTCACTATTGTAAGACGAGATCTCATAATTGATTGTCAAATGTTTTCGTGACGTCATATGAGTTTGATGCGTTACGTGGCGACATGCGCAGCGGGCTTCGGTCCTCCGGTAAAAATAGCCCTTAGCTAAAATAACTGTTTGGCAAACCTATATACAGTATATGTGTGTGTTCCATTTTTCTTCATTTTTCTTTATTCAATAAGATATACTATTAAAAGCATAGTATAGACATAAGTAGGCCTAAAAGGGAAACGACGGGATAGTCAATGGCCATTAGTAGTCAGCTTGGCGTCCGAAAAAAGCCAGCAAGGTAACGCTGCGCTTCTATTGTTTTATTGATTACCTACTGCATTGTATCCGATGCCTTTGAGCGATATCGAACGGTGATTGGTCAATAACTTCGCTAACGGCGTTTGTTTTTATATACATTTTTAGTATTCCATTAATAAAACTATATTTTAAAAAGCATTTTTTTTGCTATTATAGCTTTTCTATTAATAATCTGTAAAAAAAATCTAATTATTACATCAATTAATTCTTTTTCTTTTCTCTTCTTTTACAGGTCTCCTCTATTAATCGAGTTCTACGCAACCTGGCCTGCGACAATCAAAAGAGTTTGTCTCATGCTAATGTTATGTACGATAAATTAGGCCTTTTAAATGGACAATCATGGGCAAGACCTAATCCTTGGTATGCCTCAAACGCTATGCCAAGTTTGGCGGCTCAGTATCATCCTCCGGCGCCTATCAGCCCACCAGAAAGGAAAAAAGGTTTGTACGATCATTTTTTTAAATATGATAAAAAAGGAAAAATTGCCGTAGCTAATGCGAGGGGCGTGGCGGCGAACCGGTGCCCGCCCGCCCGCCCGCCAGATGCTCAATAACAAAGTAGGTCGTTTAGTTTGTCTATAAGAAAAAGAATCTTAACGAAAACTCATAGGCCGATTTAGAAATAGAGCCGGACGTTATTAGATCGTTCGAAATATAGTTCTGTATAGTGTGTTTAATGAGTGGAGACCTCCTACGGAGTTAACTAGCGCTTAAACCTTCAACACGCGGCGATATATACATGCGCGCATGTTATGAACGGGAGCTAAAGGCCTTTATAAAGGGCGAAAGTAATAGAGTATGAAAAAAGCGTCTACGCAATAAGACGTATGAAAAAAAATCGTTCAAAAAGAAATCCTAACGTAATACTCCTTAGACTATATATAACGTATAGTATATTCTTTATATATATATATATAGACGGCGCGTGCTACACAATAAAATACTTAACTAATTCCGTCTTTGATCGAGCCGCTGCAGTGGCCGGTACCGGCTTGCAACTAGGTCAGCACGCCAACGTAGAACATCAAAGAGACGACGCTAATTGGAACGAGGTGATAATTAGCGATTCTGATTGAGTTTGCGGAGCGTCGGTGCATATGATGCGGTGCACCGCAAAAAAAAAAAGTGTTAAAAATTCGAATCTTATAGATTTTTTTTTTATTTTGCTGTCAAAAGAATAAAATAAGTCGATACTATTTTTTGAACGATTCAGGGTTTTTATTAATTAAGTCTTCAAAGGAGTTTAACTAATGAAAATAATGAGGATTCAAAAAAAAAAGAAAAGAAAAAGAACGATGCAACAATGTATCATTCATAGAACAATGAATGCTTGTCTGACTGTTCTGTATATAAGATATATAGGAAACTGAGCATATATAAGTTTATTGGTGTGTGTATATATTTCATAAATATATCAATAAATTATATAATTTAAGTAATACGAGACAAAATGAGTATGTAAGCGTAAAAATTATTCATCCCCAATTCTGTCGGTTTCTTTATAGCTCTCTCAGAAGATTCGGAGAGTTTAGACGGTGATACAGGTTCTGATGGTGGAGCTGGAGAGAGTGACGAGCAAATGCGTTTAAGATTGAAAAGGAAACTTCAAAGGAATAGAACGTCGTTCACTCAAGAGCAAATCGACTCGCTAGAGAAAGGTATGCAATGCCATCTGGTGTGATCTTCATTCTTTCCATTCTTAAATATTTGTTCATTATATAACTCTTTTCAAATTAAGTAATTATGCAATTTTGATCAAATTGTTTATTATTGAAAATTGTAGAATTCGAACGAACTCATTACCCGGACGTGTTCGCGCGCGAAAAGCTAGCGGAAAAGATTCAATTGCCGGAAGCCCGTATTCAAGTTTGGTTCTCAAATAGGCGTGCCAAGTGGAGGAGGGAGGAAAAGCTAAGGAATCAACGACGAGAAAATCCTAGTATACCGATAAATAGTAGCTTCACAAATAGCGTCTATTCGCCCATACATCAACCGGTTTCAATGACCGACGCGTACAGGTGCGTAACGTCTGTTACCTACGCTTTATAATGCGTATATCGAACGGATTAATCTCTTAATTTTCCTCTACAACAGTATGCCCCCCGGTGCGGTCAACTATTCCCTTGCCAGCAATATGACGCCTCATAACCCGGCATGTTTGCAAAGTTCTACATCATCATCATCTTACTCCTGCATGCTGCCTGATTGCACCAGTGCGGCAAGGAGCTATGACCCTTTAGCGGGATTTGGAGGCTACAGTAGAGCTACCAGTTGCGCTAGTATGACTCAGCCAATGGGCCATCAAAACGGGTCAGCATCAACAGGATTAATCAGCCCTGGAGTTTCCGTACCTGTACAAGTACCCGGCGGCTTACAAACGGCTCACGATCCCAACGCAGCTCACATGGCCTCGATGAGTTCGATGACTTCTCAATACTGGCCGAGGCTCAATTGACTGATTCATAATTATTCATAAATAATATTACTTATATAGAGAATATATATATGTATATATACATATTTAATACCACAAAAGTAAATAAATATGTATATGTGTATATGTATATATTTTTTGTCCATATATTTCTCTTTTTCTCTTATCTCTCTCTTTCTCTCTCTCTCTCTCTCTCTCTCTCTGTATGTCTAACTTTTTTGGCCGATTATACGAATAAGGGGTCGGCTTTCTCTCCCGGTCGAGTTGCTTACGTAATTAAGCGAACGCAAACGGAGCGATTACGTAAAAAATAAGAGACTTTATTTTATTTTATTTTGTTCAAGCTTCATTATTATTCTTTTTTGTCTCTGTTTTTTATTAAAGGAAAACAAAACAGACAAAAAAAAACATACTAAAGTAAATATATATATATATGTCTCTTTTTGGTCTAACACTATATCCTTTTGATGAGGGGCTTAATTACGAAACAAAGACAAGGGAGAGGGTTGGCAAAATGGGTGGTAGAATATAAATTCCCTTTCTTTTTTTAAAATAGGATATATTCGCATAAAAAAGAAAAATATGAGAATATCCTTTAAAAAAAATATAAGTAGAAAGAAGAAGAAAAGAAAAAGGGAGGGGAGAGAGAGAGAGAGAGAAGGAGAGAGAGAAAAAAAAGCTAAATAAAATCGTTTAAATGTTTTTTTTTATTTTGGTGCTTGTTACACTTTATTTTTGTTGAAACATGTATATATATATATATATATATATATATATATATATATATATGCCTCTAATATACATTTATAAATATATTTTACAAACATAAATATGTCTTCGTATTCATAATGATTGTTTTCTTTTTTTTGTTCGAATTTTTTCATCATTACGTGTTGTGACGAATTAATATATACAAAATTCATATATACTTATATATATATATATATATATATATTTATATATTTGTATATATTTTTAAATTATATTAAACAGTAAAAAAATAAAAAAAAGGCAAATTATAAAAAAATTTATGAAAAATATCGTTCATTTTTCTTCTTCTTCTTCTTCTTCTTTCTCCCTCCTTTCCTCTCTCTCTCTCTCTTCATGTCCAAAATGCCTAACGCTTATCGAATTTTTTTACCATAAAATTTACACCATCTGCCACACTCTTCAAGCTAAAAAGCTCCAGTTTTTCGCGTACTTGAAATATGTACATATTTAATTTTATTATTACTAGAAAATTTACTATAAAGGTAATAAAACGAACAATCTTTTCCTTTATATTTATATATATAAGTATATTTAATGAACGATATTAACTTTTTTTTTAAATAAAAAAAAATTGAAAGAGAAATAAAGAAAGAAAGGAAAAGACCGATTAAACGTAGAGAATAAAGAGTAAAATACCTTCTACCGCTTACGTAATTTCTCTTCTTTAATACAACCGATCACATGACATAGTTTTTTCCTATTTAACGTTTTAACAGTCTATACGGATCGACTGGCGTCAAGTGGTGGCGCGTTTTTTTTTTGTAGTATACTCGATGTTTTTCTTTTGAATTTTCCATTGTAAAATGACCAGTTTGGTCAGTATTGAATTTTTTTCAAGTAGGACACATACGTTTGGAAATAATCCTTGATAATCAAAGCGGAAAGATTACGTGCGTATGTACAGCATACATACCATAGAGATGCAAAAGATGTTTTCTTAGCATAAAGAATATGGAAGAAGAGCTGTTAATTTATAAGCATGTATATCGTATAATCGCATGCGCTTTGTAATTAATTCGGCAGTCGTGGTCGCTTTAATTCAGTCTTAGTCGGACTTTTTCCTTCCGCGCTGTCAAACTCAGTTAAATGCGATGGTAGCGCCATCTATTGTACGATTCGTGAAATATTCGTAGAATTTTTTTTTTTCTAAATTAACAGTTTTTGGACAGTAGAAAAAGAAGAGAAAAAGACAAAATTTTCCCGAATAAATCTTTAAAGTGTATATAAACCTTACATAGATAAATGTTTGAAGTAATTCGTGTATGCATCAATATATATATACAATTTTTTTTATAATTCTTCTAAAATAGGTCATGAAAATAAAACTATAAAAGGTTAAACGCTAACTCAATATATTGCGGAAGAAAAGAGATTAATAAAATATTCATGTATATTTTATTAAAGATAATAAATTGAAGAAAAAACAATTGATACCAATGATTGAGCCGACGGCGGTCTACACATGGTCGATAGTGCAAAAGACGTAATTATTCGCGCATTTAGTCTCAGCTATTGTGAAACGTCCGTATTAAATGGGCACAGATAAGTTAGGAAGGATCGTTTATAAAAGCAAACAATTAACCTGTCATTACGAACACCTCATTAACTCTTTGTTAAAGAATCTAGATAGTTTAGGAAAGAAAAGAAAATGGTATGTAATAGTAGAGGTAGTAATCTATTTAATTAACTATATTTCTTATTTTCCCCCCTCTAAGGAAATGAAAAGAGAGCCGAGTTAAGAAATGAGAATAAATAAGAATGTGAGAAGCAGTGAGGGAGAGAGTGAGCGAAAGAGACAGAGGCAGAGAGAGAGAGAGAGAGAGAGAGAGAAAGAAAGAGAGAAGTGAAGGGGGTGGGTATGGTCACTTTGTATAATTAAAGGCGTTTCTCCTTCTCACTTCTCTCTTTCTTTCATCAAACAATTTTATTTTCACATTAATCAACTTTATTATCATTCCTTCTTTAAATACGTAATCGCCTAACAGATGCACAGCGGCAACGTTCTAAAGACCGAATAAGAAATTAAAGGAGAAAAGGGAGAAAAAGAAAAAGGGAACTTTATACGGTCATTTTACAAGATTCTCATTTTTAAATAATAATACCAAAAGGAGGAAGAGGGTGGGAAAGGGATCGGTAGTAAAAGTATACCAACACTTTATATATAGCCCGAATCTAGAAAATAATATACATATAAACCTATATACACATATATATACACTTAATCTCTTCATCATTAATAGACAAGTGAAATTGTAGACAGTCGTAGTATAGCGGAGTAACTTTGATGTGTCAACGTTCATTATTCTGCACCAACGACTTGCCTTTATTATTCTGCCGAAAAGAAATTTCAAATATTTCATTTTTAACTTTATAATATATAATATATATACAATTTACATATTATCCTATATATAGAATATATTAGTATTATATATATACATACTATTTATATAATTTTTCCTCAATCCCATTCAATCTCTCTCCCATCCCTCTCTAACTTTAAGATTTCTCATTTATCTTGAAATGATATATAGCTATTTCTCTAAAAGGATATCGAATAATTATGGGATTATCTTATTAAGTGCTAAAGCGTGCGGGGATAAATTGCTGTATAGTTTTGATACATGTAATCTTTTATTGAGGGTAAGTAGTTTATTAATTTGTAGATAAACAAAAACAGTCGAAGTGAAAAAATTCACTCGAAAGTTTCTAAGAGTCGGCACTCGGATCTCAAGTGTCAAATCTCTCAAACTACCATCCTTTTGTCATTCAATTCTCATTGTATTCTCATTATCCTCTTAAACTGCCGTGCGGCCGGTATCTACAACTATTTGACGCACGCTCAATTCTTTTCTCTTTTCTTCCTTCTTTCCTATACATGCTTCTACCTGCCTTTCCCTTTTTCCTATTATTAAAAATCCTTCTCTTACAAATGTCTTATCTTCTTTTTAATACGAACCGCTTAAACAGGTCATCTCCTCGTCATCATCGACATCTTCACCTCCTATTTCGAACTCATCGTCTACTTCCTCGTTGTCTCTTACAGCTAACCGATAGGCTATTTCGAACGCCTGGCCGAGCGTAAGAATGATTTCGGTCGATAAGGCCTGTATAAAAGAAAGTAAAAGAACATAGATAGCCGAGGGGAATACATAAAAAAATAATCTTGGAAAAGAAAAAAAAAAGGAGAGCAAATCACAGTATCAAGAAAAGTCAACTATAAAAACTTTTAAGACAGACGGATGGAATCAAAAAGTCGTTAATTTGGCCGACGTGGCCTGTCGTCGTTTCTCACCGGTAGCGCACATTCCATCAATCAGATTATGCAGGTGCGTGCATCATGACACAGCATGGTGCTACCGGATATATTCGCACATATATATATGTCTATATATAAATAACAATCAATATATAATGGGCATATATACGTATGCACGATTTAATGGGGAAAGCAAAAGGTGTAGGTCATCCCTTACCCCCCACAAGTGAAACTGGTCGAGTGAGAATCGAAAAGAAAAGAATAAATTTTCCCCACCTCCCCCACAAACCTTCTTCGCCCTCCGCCCCTTCCGCAAACTCTAAATAATAAAAAAAAACAACACACACACACACATATTCACACGAATGCATAAATACAAGACATATAGAATCGAAAAAAAAACTTACTGCATCAACCGTCGAAAATAAATGACATTCATGACGCCTTCCGACGTTTTCGCTGACGTACGCAAGGAACCGTAGAGTTTCATCCTGACCGGCGCTGTAGACGTTCCTAATATCATGCGATGCTATTGGGCGTTTATTAGTAGCATCTTGAAAAGATATTTGACGGTGGGAGATGAGAAAATCGACCGATTGCCCGGAAGTTGTGCCAAACGTTTTCTGAATATTATATTAAAAAATGTATCAGATTTGGTAAAAGATTTGATAAATATGAAAGCTATATCTATTTACACACACACTCTATAAACAAAGGATATGCAGTACACAGAATATACTGTATGTGTACAGTGCTTATTTATACAAATTGAATACAGCAGTCTCTACTATATACAATATAATATATTATAGGAATCTGTTGTAAAAAAGTAAAGAAAAAGAGCTAATCGTTTTATTAGGGGCTCCCGCAAGGCGAAAAATACGAGTAAATATAATTGGAGAAATGTGAAAGCGACGCGACGGATACTCTACTTTTCTTAATCGGCCGCCAAAACGGCGCCGTTAAGATTAAGCTTAAAGCCCATAGGCCATTTGGGGATTAATCTTTACGCACGGCGTCGGACGTAGCTAAGAGGTAGCCGATTAGAAAAAGGGGACTAAAAAATTAAGGGAATTCTTTCTAAGGAGGAGGAAAGAGGATAAACTTCGGATCAAAGGAAGTAGGGTGAAAAAAATAGGTGGGAAAAGTGCAAGAAAAGAGAGAAAGAAAGACAAAAAAAGCAATTAAAGGAGAAAACGAAGAGAAATTAGTGAAGGGATGCGAAAACGAGGGTCAAGTGTAGAGATCTCATTAACACTCTACAAATCCGCTTTCTACCACGCCTACTTTTTAATTACACCATTCTGGTCGTGACTTGGCATAATGCGTATATTACGTATACCATTATTTACACGTATGCTACTATATAACTCATATTCCGCGGCATTTTTCGGTCCCTCCCACTTTTCCCCTCCCGCTTTATTGCTTTTCTTTCTCTTTCTCTTTCTTCATTCATTAATTCTTTTCGCTTTCTCTCCCTATTCATAGTCCTATTGCAACCCCTTAAGAACTCATCTTCCTCGTTTTTCTTTTGGCGGTGAAGATAAAGGTGTTGGACGCCACGGGCAGCTTATTCACTTGACCGCACCCGGTCACTGTACATCCATCGACACTAAGTATGTCCGTTGTAATCCATTGTCTATCAATGGTGCGTATAATGCGTAGCTCGGTAGCAAACAGCAGCCTTAGCACCGCCGAGCACCACACACCGAGATAACAATCAACCATCTGCGTCATATTCTACTATGACGTCATGCTCATTAAACACCCTTCTTCTTTTTTACTTTTTTATCTGCCAATTGAATCTTATTTGCAAGTTCTTGAAAAGAGAAAAAAGGAACGAAGGTGAGGGAAAACTCCTCAATCCACATTCTTTTAAATTCAACATTAACTTATCCCCACTCTCCTTCCTATGAGATTATCGCGAACGACTGCCTCGGTAAACTGCCGTCGGCCGCTTTCTCTTTCCTTTTAAAGGGCAGTAGAGCTCAAAACCTTTCGGATATGGGAGGCACCGCTCCGTAAAACGGGTAAACAACGGAACAAGAACGTGTAAACGTCACAAAAATCGAACGCTTTAGCAAATAGTTATTTTCTTATTCCCTTTCTGCTCTACTCATTAATTCCTTTCCCTCTCCCTCTTCCTCTCCCTCTCTGTCATTCGGTTATTGTCGTATTTAGGTGCTCATTTACCACCTGGTTTTGACATATTTACTTGTGTTAATTCTATTCTTTATTACAATTTTTTCGTTTATAACTCTAACATTTGTTACTGTTTTTTATTTTAAAGGTGAATTTTAACAACAAAGATAGTAGTTTATCTCAGAATGTCAAAGTTTGAAAAAAGCGCCAAAAGCGAGAATGTTTAACGCTAGAACAAGCAGTACCACGCGCACAGGTCAGCGAGCTAACGAGGTGCATCTGTGCAGAAAGCTCCTCTCAAAAGTCACTCGGTTCGAGGCAAACTACCGTCTCATCCTATTCTAATCGACACGCGACCCCTTCCCCGCCTCCCCGTCGTCCTGGGTGACGATCCAACAGTAGAGGAACTATGCTGTACTTACAAGGAATACAGTATGCTAGAAGGGCGGGATGGGCGTTAGGTTCTTTCCCCCCTCATCCGTACTGAATGATTTTCAAACTATATACCACCTACCACCTAAGTGGCGAAGAAAAGCAAACTCTAGCGACGAACAAAAACAAACGAAAGAGAATCTTTCTGTCCGCTTCATTGAAGCAAACATTCTTTTTCATATACAATACGACGTCTTTTTTACGAATCTCAGTAAATCTCCAATCGACTCTGACAGCTCAGATTATTGCCGTCTACTCGTTGATCCGTTGGATTAAAATAAAGCTTTATCCGATTGTTTGTACTCAGGAGAGTTCTACTATTCAAAAGTCACGAATCTTCTTTTTATGATTCTATCCTCCTTTTCCATGTTTGATTTTCACCTTAAAACCCCCCTGATTTCCCATATCCACCCACTCCTCCCGTGCCACCTTTTTCGAACACTAATACTCCCCCAATTCACCCAGAGTTAATACTTCCTTTTTTTATATTTTTTTTATTTTGTATACGTACCGTACAACTTGTACACATGTACGATATTTACTTTACAATAAAATACATGTGCGTTCAACTTTTACGCACTTTTACCTTTATAAAATTGGCATTTTTAATCATAAAAGGGAAACATGACGCGCATTAATAATTACCGTTCAACAAAGCTGTTTATCGAATAAAAATGTAATTTACATTTTATTTTCACTAATATCTCCCCTTCCCTCTACCTTTACTCCCTCCCATAGGATTTTTCTTATTTATTCTCTTTTCCCTACTTTTTTTATCTGTTTTTAATTTTCCCCATTTTCCCGCCAATAAATATTCTTTTTTAGAATATTCTTTAATTTTTATCAAACATGGGATTGATCATGCAAAATTACCTTAGCTAAATATTAATTTTACACCCTAATACCTCATTGAACAAAATTTTTTTACCTTGATCGCAGATATAATGTCTTTTATGGAGCAATTACCCGTAAATTCTCCGATTTCTTTCGACCCGTGATACTGTAAAGGGACGAGAAAAAATATTTAAAAAACGAGATATAACGCCATCTGTATCATTTTAGAAAAGTAATCTTTTTTTTTACTACGCCACCTATAATTGAATAAAAAGTAGAGAAAAGCATTTAATGTTTAAATATATAAATAGATGGAAAGAAATTTTTGACAAAGGTGAAAGTATAAAGAATAAATATCTACTTACTTGTATCAAATACTTGCAACCACCCGAAAGGAATGAATTGTACCTTCTTTCCCATTCTTTCGTCTTATCGCGACCATTTTCCAACTGTGTTGTTCCGTTAAGCTGGATATGAGATGAATGAATACAATAATAATAAAAATAAAAATAAAAAAACAGATAAACAATGGAGGCTAATAGGAAAAGAAGAAACAATGGCAAAGAGGGGAAGAAAAAACAAGAGAGTGAAAGGATAAGATAATAAAGTGAGAAATGTTAAAGAAAATTATCATAATATTTATAATAAAAAAAAGAAAGAAGAAAAAAAAGAGAGAATATCTACCAGAGTCACGTTCTTAATCGAATTAATTGATTCAGCTAAGTAATTCTCTCGGTTGTTTTCTTGCCTGTGTAGCCTTTTCTGTTGATTACTTTCACTATTTCTCTCCTACATCGAAATATATTAGCGTAAAAATACTCTATTCACATACCCAATCGAATCAAAACTCACTCGATCGTTAAAAATCTTCGAAAGGGAGACAATCATCCGTTTCCGGTGACCTATACAGGGAACTTGTAATACCTGTAAGCCCATTAAATGAAAATCCCCCCAAAAAAGAAGTGAGAATAAGTGATTGAGAAAAATCTTTTATTATTAAAATCGGCCTATAAACCCTACTTACCGAAGACATTTCAACCTCTGGTCTCAGGGAGCTAAAACCATTCATCTCAAAGAGTGGTAGATATTCGGTTAATGATAAGAGGTCAAGCCAATCATGAACAGACTCGGGATTTTTAATTACTGTTGGAGAAGAAAAGATAGCAAAAACAAAAAGAGAGAGAAAGAGAAGAGAGAGAGAGAGAGTTAAAGAAGAATAATTAGTTTAAAGAATCAACAAGTAGTTTACTTTGAAAACTTGGTCGATTAGCTACTGCTCTTAGTATTTTCTTCCGATGGTTTGAATTAAGAATACCAATTTCTAACAGTGTATCATCATCTACAAACTCCGGGCACTGTTTGTGAATATTTAAACCAACATATTAAATTTATATGAAATATGAATAAATTATATTTACAACCAACCATAAAATCTAAATGATCAAATCCATTAGTAATAAGAATTTGTTCGTAGTGATGAGATAGATCAATAGAAGAGAGCCAAGATAGTAGAGAATTATCCGCTAAGAGTAATGAATAAAAAAAATAGTAAATGAGCAAAAAAAGGGAAGATAGAAATGAGAAAAAAAGGAGAGAGAAAGACATAGATTATTGAAATAGTATAATTAATTATATGTTATCTATATCTACCAGGATCTAGAGAGCATTGTAGAGAACCGAGGGATGCGACGATACTATCAATCTGAATGATGAGCAAATTTCTGTTATATATCAATTTTGGTTTGTATACCAATTGTATACCTCTTTCCATGTCGATTCTCTATCAAAAAAATATTCATTCGACGCCATATCATTAGTGTAAGTAGACGCCGTTTCTATTATAATAGAAAGAGAAAATTTATAGGCAAATAAAAATAAATAAAAAAGAGAATTTATCCGATTACCAAAAGATGGCGATAGTGGAGATGTTGCAGTAGAGCAAGTCTATACATTTTGTCCAATGAATAGGAACGGTGGTAGGAGAGAGAGACAGAGAGCAAAAAAAAACAAAAATGGGTTTTTTAAAATCACTTTGACATTAAATAAAATTTATTGTTACATCTCTTTAATATAATAAATTGTTCATGATTACATCACAATAAAGAGTTGTAAGAATAATTATGGAAATTAGGGAAACCTTGGGTTGTAATTGTAAATGTTCCGATATAATTGAGATTGCAGTAGCTGGAGATGGAGGTGATTCGATATTTTCGGTAATTGTATTCGAAACGGTATTTAATAACAATAATGAATCAGGCCTAGTGGCTATTTGATTAGTAGAATTCGAACTATCTGTTTAGGAGATGGAGAAAAAAGAGAAAGAAAAAAAAAAGAAATTAATAGATCCCTAATGATAATTGACGCTTCACCTGTTATATTCCCATTCGTATCTTCATTCGAGGGCGTCGAATAATTAATCAAGTTGTCCAGTGTCGACACGCACGACTGGGCATAGTTGTTATTACTGTTGCTTAGGCTATTTATCGAGTTTATATTCATCCCTAATTAGTTATCTGAAAGAAAGGTAGCTCAATTATAGATATTAGCACAGATTATCCACCTACACACATGCAAACAGAGAAAAAAAAGTAATATAATAATATAGATATTGTTTAAAAAGATTTCAAAATATTAAGGAAATACCTATACACTCTCTTCTTTACTTTCTATCAAATGACCAAAACGGGATGAAGTAGTTTGTCAATACATTAGCTTCAACTTTAAAACGATTTATTGATTAGAAGCTTGCTATATGATGCTATCTTTATAAGCGCAACCATATACGTGCATCAATGATTGAATCATTTTCCATTAAAAACGGATGATTGCATCAACCGTGTTTGGCTTTGTAAACAATTTTTTTTTTCGGATAGATAACGCTATACAAAGGCGTTAAAGTTTATCTATCTATTTCATTTACATAGATTCAGATAGTAGAACATATAGACGCACGAAACAAACAACAACAATAATAACATTTCCTAATGTTTGTTACCATATAGAGAGGAATATAAAGAAATAGAATCTATCTTATCCTGCCCTTTCTCTCTAACCCTCTCCTATTCATCTTAGATTACTTTTTTTTACTTCTTTTTAAATAGAATACTTTGGCAATAGGATTAATATTAAGTGAATGCGTACGTTATTAGTTTGCAGGAGACGCGCCGATCAATGTGTTAATCGTATTCATATTTTAATAACAAACAAATATAATTTTTAAGGATGATAGATCTCAAAGAAAAAGATAAAATTCAGTAGCTAATTAATATCTAACAATAAATCTAGTAATATTTAGAAGAAACGCCACGACTTACCGTTTACATGGAACAACGGCATCCTACTGGATCTAGTGGTAGTATTGGCTAAAACTTCGGTCACGTGATCAAATCGATCAGTGCCCTGCTCTCCCCGCTAGCTCGTTCCCCACATGATGTAATAGACGTAAGCCTTTTTTATTTTTTTAAAAGGAAAAAAAAAGCCAATAACGTGTTTTATTGAATGAATTAGTCCTCAGGCGCATTTGGATGTCCAGCATAAGTGACGTAACACCCTGAGGAAACAGTATCGGATGCCTAGGAATGGAGTTGCAAAAATGTGTCTTTATCGATCCATGTCTCGATGAATTGTTAGAATAGAGGAAGGGGGAGGGGTGATTTGGGTCTCTAGTATTCTTTTTCTTCGAAAGACCGTATTAGTTGGGGATTTACTACCACGAAATTATTTTATAGCTCCACCTGGGGGAATTATAAATTTGATTATCACGCCATCTACAGTTTCCAACTTTTCTACCTATTACTTCTTCCATCGATCAATTAAAACTAACATAAACTTCAACCAATAAAAAGTTTGTCCTTATTAATATAACAAAATAGAGTGGCTTAATGAATATACAGGATATATTTATAGAGCTAGAGAGGAAGTTAGGAAGAGAGAAAGGGGAGAAAAAATAACACTTTTGTCGTTCATGTTCAATGATTATTCTACAAGGAAGAAAAAAGAAACAAGGGATTAATTCAGCAGCCCTCTCCCCTGATTCCATTCGATTCTTATCACTTTCTTCATTACGGTTTCATTGAACCGTTTTATCCCCCTTTTATCCGCTTAGAAAATAGAACGAAAATGAACTTCTGCGACGGAATAGCGTAATAAATTTTTTAAACGATTTGATTACTTTGTCGATTCATAAGAAAATCACCAAAATTAACCCTCGCCTTATTTAATAAATGAATTTTCCCAGCTGAAACTACTCTCTAACTATTACCCAATCCCATGGTTACGTAACTAAATAAAATATTACGATTAAGGATTTAATGAAGAGAAAAAATATCTTTTGTCTAATCGCTAAAGATCTTGGAAACTCTTTTATCAATTATTCTATTCTTTTTAGAATTTAACAAATTAAAGCGAAAGTATCCCTTTTTGTCTCTTTTCCTCTCCTTTACTCACTTTCTCTCTCTTTCTCTATTTCATCCTGCTTAGAAGGAGAAGACGATTGATGAGATAATAATTAATTATCCGAAATAAAAACAAATCTTTAAATGTTATGCAGGAAGAAATTGAGAGAAATGAGAAAGACAGAGTGAGTGAGGGAGAGAGAGAGAGAGAGAGAGAGAGAGAGAGGGAAAAGGAAAGTAAAAAAAATACACAAGACTCTAAGAAAGCAAGGTAGGTAACGGATAGACAGTATAAATATCAAACAAGAAAGAACTCCAAACTGGCCGGAAATCATTTTGTGGTTTAATGAAGGAATTCATCGAAGAGTAAATGAATTCCCAAAGAGTCTTGGGATTTCAATTATATCTTTGAAAATTTAACCAATCTCTCAATAGAATATCAAATAGAATATTGAAGATATGTTTACGAGGGAGAATTCTATCCCTATATTTTTTTCCTTACAGTCGTTGAAAAGAAGAAGAAGAAGAAAGAAATAGGAGGAGAAGCGAAAACAGGGGGAGACTTTTCAGTAATTACTAGGCAAGCCACAAATTACATTGTACTTTATTATTTCGTTATGTAAACATGACTTTAAAGGAACTAATTGATATTTCCTACCATCTAAACAGGGTAAATTATCAAGTGAAACTCAATGATAAAGAAACACTATAATTAAACAATCTTTCAAAGGTATTATGAAAGAGCATCTTACAAATTGTTAAATGATCGGCGAATGAGGATAAAACTAGACGTATTGTATATAATACAATATAATAGAAAAGAAACATAACAATGGGCATCTCTCAAGGGAGTCTATAGGGAAACGATCAGGGTTTATAGAATATAGTTGAGGTACCTTTAAAACTATATACCGTGGATAAAACTAAACTTTTACGAATAATTACCCGCTTCAAAAGCACTAATAATAGGAAACTTTTATTAATACATTTTAATTATATCATTCATTAAATTGCAATTAATAAATAGTTTCCATTGTTACTTTCTTTTCTATGTACTGATCTATATACCATCAATATTCATACTTTGTTATCTAATATCTCATTATTATAACAATTAACGGTCAATACATTTCATATTTATATATTTTATTTGTACCTTTTTCAAAGATAATGTTAATAATAGAAGTAATATATACGTTTATTCAATATCATTTTTTATATGTTAATATAATATACTGTATATGCATGTATGCATGTATGTACGTGTTTATGTGCGTGTGCATTGTGGGTAAAAAATGAAGAAGGTTTGATTTTTTTTTTACCTTTTTATAAATTAAACAGAAAATTAATAGAAACAATAATACTCCCACAGTCGACTTTAATATATTTAGCGTAGAAACTGGGCACTGTATTTTTCATTACAGTATGTATGTATATGATATTCTTTTCTTGTTCTTAACCTACATTCTATTCTCCCTCTCCTTAGTACGACCTCTCTCCTTCCCATTCCCCCTCTCTCCCCCGCTATTCTTTTTTTATATTTACCTATATGATAAAATAATCTTCAGGACAATAATTAAAATACAGATTAATTGTAAGGTTAATTAAGAAGGATTGAATGTATAGAGATCTAATTCATTCCTTCCTCGATGTCATATAAGGTATGTTGATTAAGGTCGCCTTTCTAATTTAGTTAGTGTCTTTGTATCTTTGAAATTTGTTTTACTATTCTTTGTTTATTGAAGAGCTGGCAACGGGAAGGAGAATAGGAAGTGAGAAAGAGATAGACAGATAAATAGATAGAGGAAGAGTTATAGAGAGAGAGAGAGAAAGAGAGAGAGGAAGAAGGAGGGAGGCAATAAGAAAAAAAATAAAAGAGAAATATAATAGTTTATCTTGAAAGATTTTTCTCGACTTTGTCTCTTTTTTTAGTAAAGACAAAATCGAAATGAGAGACGGGTAGATTTAGTTGTCTCTTCCTTTCTCTCTAGTATTCTTTTTTTTACATATATTTATTCCACTTTTATCAATAAAGATTGAAGAAAGGGAATAATCAGAGAAATCTATAAGATAGTTGAAAGATATGCATAGGATTATGACATATCTATTTATAAATATATCTTTCATTTAAGATGATAGTCTAATTCCTCTGTGTTTAAATTAGTTAGGTAGTTATTAAAAAAGGATGTAATTAATTTCTCATTGTTTTACTTTTCTCTCTCTCTCTCTCTCTCTCTTCCTGCCTGCCTATTTATATATCCTTTCTTCTTTTTTTAATTCTTTCTGTCCAGATCTGGATCTTTTGTCTCTTCCATTAAAAGGCTACGACACTTAACCGTTTAAGATTACAATTTTCCTATTCGCTGGTTACAAAGGACACAAACTTCTCATTCGTTACAGCTAATCTTATTAGATAATTTGAAGATAAGAAAAACATATTAGTAACTCCTATTCATTTCTCCTATTCATATATTGTTGCAAAGAATCTCTTCAATCAAGCATTGGGGAGTTTTAAGGGATTGGATAAATTGAAAATAGTAAATAAAAAAGTCTCTAACTCATATTAGGATAAATCCAGCTAATCTGGAATGTTTTTTTTTGTGTGAGACAAAGTGTGCGCTATTTTAAACAACTTTTATCCTATTGTATCTATCTTCTTAACCCCTTCTTCATACCACAACTTGTCTTTGTCTTTACTTCATACTTACATATTCTTTTCTTTTCGTTCTTTGTCAATATTTTCCCAATCCTTCTGCCTGTCTGCTTGTTTTTGCGGTTGCTTCTGTCTCTGTCTCTTTCCCCTTCTCTCTTTTATGTTACTTCTACTTTACACTCTGTCAGTTCGTTGACAATCCCCGTTCCATCAGTGAGATTTATTTTTAAGTATGTAAATTAATCAATGGTTGTATTATAAGGGATGAAATTAAAAAGTATACACTTCTTAATTGTGTCAATTTTTACTCTTATCTATTCTTCGCAGATAGAAGAAAACTCAAAAATGAATTACACTGCTGACGAAGATGATCCTGACATTTTTAATCACCATAATGGTTGCAATAACCTAAAAATACAGTCTCAAAATTATACAATTCAAGGAGGATATTACGAAATCGTCCTAGGACGTCTTGGAGTTATTGGTTACGAAACGGGCACATTTATAGAAAATCCTTATCTTTTTGATCAAGACATCCTGATTATTCATGGAAGTCCACAATCTATAAATGAGGCAATAGTGAGAATAGAAAATATAATTGAGGAGAGAAGGAGACAGTTTGAAACTTTCGATGATGGGTGACTGATTGAATGAATATGTTATATATTCAGAAAGTGACCATATAAACGTTATCGGTCAAGTGACTTGAAAAAATAAAGTCATTTTTATTGTTATTGTTTATATAGATGATCCATAAAGTGCTATTACGTTTTTCTAAATATTAAAATGTTTCATACCTATCTTTCTTCTAATTAATTACTAATACAATGAAAGAACAAGTATAATGTCTTTATATATATACTGTATATATTAATATGTATATATACGTATGTTGAAAGAAAACATTCCTATTTGTCTAAGAATACAAAAGGTAACAAAGAAGTTAATCAAGTTTGCATAATTACTCAATAATTAAAACAAGCTGCAAAATGTTGTACATGCCTGTATTTACATTTTAGGTCTTTTTGCTTAGTAATTTATTAACTATAAAAAGTTATAAATAATGGAGAGAGAATCGTCCCACAAAGAACATATTTATAAATTATTAATAGATAGATAGAGATATATACAAAAATGAGTATACATTGAAAAAAAAGAAAGATAAATAAGATAGCAAAAGAGGTTGTGTGAAAGAAAATATAGGAGAGAAAACTCATACTCTTATCCTTAATTATGTATTGGATCTCAGCAGAACTTGTTTCTTTTTTAAGTTTAATACCATTATCAATGTAGTATCTATTTCATTTATTCTATTATTATGAATAGGGTAAATCTCTTTCATACAGTTTTTATACGAAAAGGTTGATCTTATATACTGTATATATTGCGTTTTCTCAAGAAAAATGGTCGTTTCTTTTATAACGTCTAATTTTTTTGTTACATACATCAACCGAATTCTCATTAGAACGTCAATCGTCACTTTTCTCTTTATCGAACAAACGCTAAAAATTCAATTTTAACTTGATAAACGGCCGTTTTAAATTAGAGATTAAGCAATAATCTTATAATTAAAATATTCTCTATTCCTCTTTTTAGCCATGTCTATAATCTAACTATATAATAAGTACATTTTCATTTCTTGCGCATACCGCCGCAACCTATTATGAGGCGTCATCTACCGGTTCATAATGAAAATATGGTTTTTTGTATATTAGATGAAACTGTACTTTGATAATCTTTTGATAAAAAGCAAGCCAAGTAAGTAATTAATCTTATTTCTATTAAATTAAAAATAGTTGCTTTCTTGTCTTTTTATACAAATTATTAAAGTAAACAAAACAAGCAATAATATTTCAAAAGAAAACTCCCAGAAATATCAATAAATGAAAAGGAAAGAAAAAATGATTAAAGAAAACTCTTCAAAGTTTTTTCATCTTTTTCCCTTATCTTTCCTTTATAAAATGAAAAAAAAACATTCTGATAAAAGTGTTGTATTTTTGTTATAAAAAAAAAGAAAGAGAGCCAGCGAGAGAGAGAGTGGAAAAAAAGAAATTTTTCACTAGTACTGCGCGGTTTCATATTACATAGGCCTATATTGAACTACAAACTCTAAAGGTTTCGTTTGCAGTTGACAAACAACAAAGAAGGGATAAATTTTTTCTCTTCAACCCTCCAATCTACAATTTCGATGATATATCACTGCCTAACGATTATAGGCGCTAAAAAGGTATAGAATAATTAAAAAGAGATTATGGATAGCCAGAGAACCGTTTAAATTGAAAAAACTTGTACTTTTGTCTTCTTTTTTTAACTTCTAGATTGTTCGTTTCAAATGACGCATTCCAATAGATTTTATATTCTTTTCATTTCTTTTTTTTTAAATCAACAGCAGATATAGAGAGGATCAGTCAATAATGAAGAAAGTTGTCAACATTCCAGTACCTAGTGGTATACACGCTTATCAAGTTGTCTCCCTCTGGGGTACGAATTTTTATTGAAAATATAGCTTTTAACAAACTAAAACTATTCTGTATTGTATTATAAAAAAAAATAAAAAATAACATAGATTCAATCGTACCTGACGAACTGGTTGGAGTTGATGTTAGGCCGTTAGACGATGGAGTTGAATGGCTAGTTAGCTTTTGGATTGAAAAGGAGATGAAGACTGTTGTATCGAGATTAGTTAAAAATATTATTGAGATTTTTGAAAATGACATTGGAATTATTATTCGAAAGATACCAATAGGAAAATTTGAATATGTGACAAGTGAAACAAAACTGAAGGAAGAGTTGACAAATGTTACAATAACTCCCCTAAGCGATATACGAAGGAATGAAATAGTAATCGTTGGAAAACGACAAGACATTCACAAAGCTTTGGAGCATATTCATGAGATTTTAGAAAAAAATCGTTGATTTTTTCTTTTAAACAGTTCTCTCTCTCCCTCGCTCCTCTCTCTCTCTCTCTCTCTCTCTCTCTCTCTCTCTCTCTCTCTCTCTCTCTCTCTCTCTCGCTCTCTCACACACACTCTCAATCTCTCTCTCGCGTTCTCTTTTCCTCTATACGTTTATAGTGGTGCATCATTAGCTCTACTCACTTTTTTTTATTATTAAAACTTCTGCTATTATCATTTGCTTTTTGTGATTTTTTTTACTTTAATAAAAAAAACAAAAGAAAACCATTCTATTTATATCTTTCTTAGAAAAATAAATGGCTAAAATACTTTCAATTATATGTTCTCCCTGGCCCTGCACAAACTAAAGTAGGCCTTTTAAGAGAGCTTTATTGCTGTTTTCTTTTCTCTGCTTTTGTTTCTATTATACGAAGGATCTGTTACGGTAATTAAATATACTAGGCCAAAAAATGTTCGTTTTTATTTCATCCTTCCCTTTTTCTCTCGTTCAGTCTATCTACAAGGGATTTTGTTTTGATAATACGATCAGGACAAGCTAACTGCTCTGTTTTGTTTTCTCTATACAGTCAAACAATCATTTTAAACAATTCGTTATTTTCTTTTTATATTTTTAAGTAAATATGATAAAATCTAAGATTTCCAAATGCAAACTTTGGCCAAATTTCTCACCTTAATTCGAGGTTAAATTTTTTTCTTTTGGTCTGTCTATCCTAATTCCAACATTCAGTTTGATGAAGACAGATAAGAAAGATACATTCCTTACATTCTAATGTACAGTTGTCTACAGTATACAATAGAACTTTTCAACATCGTTAGCATTATTATAATATCTTAATAATTATCTTAAATTCGTTCGGTACGTATCCAAACTATTCCCCGTTATATACAAACAATTAATTTTAATTGTTTAAACTTGTCAATTAATCTTTTTTTTATTTTATTTTTTTTTTTAAAAACACTAAATAAAAAATTTCTTTTAGTAGAAAAGTTTTTTCTTTTAAGATTTATATTAATTAAATTAATTTAGTTTATATAAATAAAAGAAAGCTTTTCTTTTTAAACTATGAAAATGGCGACTGGTGGCCATTTTTATATACTGTATAAAAAAGAGATTCACATGTATGTAAACTGAGTATTAATTGAAAAATACGCTAAGTTAGTACTTCTTTTACAAAGTAAGAAAATATTCCAACATAACATATTATTATTGGCCTAAGACGATAAGAAAAGAGAACGGAGAGAGAGAGAGACACATACACACACAGTTAGAACATTCTCTGCTTTCCTATAAGTCGGGCAAAAAAAGTAGGCTTTTATTCTTTTTACTTTAAAGAGCAAAGACAAACGATTCGTATTTATCAAAGTGAATATAATATCTTCCTCTAGCCCTTCAGCCGTTCCTCAGGTTAATGTTATAATCTATTCTCAAATTTTAAAAAAATCCTCTCTTCTCTAAAGAAATAAAATAACATTGATGTAAGCCTAGAAACGAAAGGCCATCTACCGGTAAGAAGAATAAATGAAGAAGAAACGTTCTTAATTCTATATTAAGAACATAATATAGCTTTCAAAATTAAATATTATATATATAAATACATTTATACATATATATATCTTATATGTATTATTTTGGATATATAGATACTGTATATATATATATATTAGTATATATATTAATATACTAATACATATATAAATTGTACTTTATAATTATTTATTCATTTTTCTGTTGAGTTTTTTATATTTGATTATTCGTTTTCTATTTTTACTATTTAAAAGAACAGGGAAATGAAGGAACCCCTTAAAAAAGTTATTGATGAGGAAGAATTTCTATTTTACCAAAATTGTACTTATCGTAAAGGGTACGAATGGCGAACAAAATCATCTTGGTGGTGTACTAGAGAAAACTGTTTTGGACGTCTTATGACTAAACAAAAAGGCGAAAAATTTTACATTTTCAGCTTGACTAATCATAATCATAGTATTGATGGAGAGATAACAATCTATTCGTTCCATAAGCGAAGAAGAACGATTTGCACTCTTGCACAACTATGTAAAGAAATTATTAATGAAGTTAGATACGGTATATATAATGTTTTTTCATTTTTTTTATCTTCCAGTCCTTCTTCTTCTTTCTCTTATCCTTTTTAATATTCTTACGTGCTATGTTTATATTTGTCTTTTAGGACGTCTTTACGAATTACCAGACAGCTGTCGCAGATGTTCTATCCTACCTTTCATTCCAAGGAGAATAGGGAATTTTCCTTCTTCTATAAATGAAAAGTTCAAGTGTTTTGTCCTATATAGCCACTCTGATTTTATGGTTTTGGGTAAGAGCTTAGAATACTTGAGTACTCCAACTACTCTTCTTATGAATACTTCGGTCAAATATAAAACCAGACATTTT